TTCCGGTAGGTTAATGTAGTTTTGTTTTCCTTAATGTAGTTGCGCTTTTAGATTTGTAGTTGCAGTTTGCACTTCAGGGCCACCGTACAAACCTTTGTTCCAGGAGGACGGCTCTCCTTCCTGTTACATTTACACTGAAGAATCATTTCTATTGGAGATATATTAGATCCCTGCTCTGCTGACAGACTTGGTCTCAGGTTCTGGTAGAACCACTGCGTGTTACGCTCAGCTCTAGTCTGTGATGTAATACAGGAAGCATTTGGAAGAGAAACGGTTCTTTATTGAAACAGTTCTTTAGGTCTTTATCCACACTTTACTTTCTGTTTTACAGCAAACCCACTCAGACTGCATGTTGCCAGGAAACTCTGGGTCTCATTTGACCGAATGACGCTTTGCTTTTTGAACAGAGTCGATTTGAACAAACTCCACATGTGAAGATCTCTGATGTTCAGATGGAAAAGGTTTCTTGCTTGACTTGCTGTCATGCAGACAGTGTGCTGCAGATCTGCAGATCTCTAAGAAAGAACTTTGAAAATTCATGTTTCTCTCTAAGCTTCTTAGTCACTCTGCATGTTGTCATGCTGTCATGCTTAAATTGTTTCCTCATCGCTGGGTTTGTCATACTTGCAATTGTTCTGAACTTTGTATTTTATCTTAAGTATATAAAAGGTTAAGAAAAAAGTTGTACTTAACTACCTCATGAGGGGCAAATGATGTCTTACCTGTTTTTATTCATAAATGTTTTCTTCTTTAACATTTTGAAACAGCTTAACGGAGTTTAACCTCTGCTCTTCCCTGAGCAAACAGCACACCGTGGATAGCTACTTTAAACATTTTAAAAAGTCAGGTATAATAAAAGTTATATAATGTTTTTCTATAAGTTTGTTTGGTTTGCTGCACAGCATGTTTTATTTATAAACTATTCCTGTTTAATATGGAATAAGCGGCGCTGTCATTCCTGGGTTCAATGGAAGGATTTTTCTCATCTTTGGGTCGATATTGAAATGAAAAATGATGGAGAGACTGCCACGGTGTCTTTGCTTCTGCTGCCACTTCTTAAAGGTTCTATATCATGCTAAATGAATATTTTTGAGCATTTAAATATGTTATAATACCAATCCGTCATCAAAATCATGCCTTAAGTGTTAATCTGCTTGATTCATGTCCGTCTGCTCTCTGAGCAGCAGCTTCTCTCCGTCCTTGAGAAGATGAGGTCATCACCCTCCTATGGAGGCCAGTGATTAGCAGGAGGCGGGGCTACAGGAGGAACATACCTGGACTTTACCTGCCCAGGAAACAACATGCCTGCTTTTTCTGATTAATGTGAAATAATATCTGCTGAAATTTAAACACCTAATCCATAAAAGTGACATCAAGTTAAGAAAAAGTTCTTTGTCTGCGATGTGTCTCAGACTTTGATCATTCTTTCTAAAGAAGAGCCTGATTGACGGAAGTGTCAATTAAAACTAATCTATTGATAAGCTGTGTGTATTACGCAATGTTCCGGAAACTGCACAGGAAAAAAAATACTGTTTCTAAAAATGTGTAGAGAAAGAAAAATCTGATGTGGAGCTAATATAAGTAATCAATCACAGATTTCTCCTTTGCTTTAAGGCAGTTTGCACTGCAGCTGCTTGTCACCAAGGCAGTGTTTAGCTGGATTTCACTCAAGTTTGGGCTTTTAAAACTTTTCACCCCCAAAATAATAAGAAATAAACTGTAAAGGTTTGTTCTCATTTAAGATAGATGTTTCTTTCTTTGTCTGTGAGCTAGCAGCAGGATGCCGTAGGACTGTAGTATTTTAGCTGGAACACCTGGAAAACATTCGATCAATAGTCTTTGTGGCCTGCAGCACCATGCTGGGTCTGTGTGGAGGCAGACAGGATCATAATATGCCTCAGATGCCTTTTTGATGGTGACCAACCAACCTAGCTGGTAGGGCAATGAAAAGGTTTGTTTTTTTCTTTTAGCTGCGTTTTTTTTTCTGCCTTTATTCCAGCAAGTTTCTGTTAACTTAGATGAAAAGTCAGTTCAGAACTAAAATAACCCATCTGTTGACATTAAAACAATTATGTGGCCACAGATATCACTTAGCAACAAGTGCAAGTTGCAGTTTGGGTGATTCTGCCTGCAGCTCTGAAATAAAAACACGCTTCTTCAAGACGTGGACTTCCTTCTTTTTATTGAACGCTGGGAAATCTGCAGACATGAAACACAGAGACATCCGTGACTTCATCGAGTCGTACGATAACGGTCATTTCAGACACCACTGTACAGTCCTGAGCAGACAGTCATTAAAACACAACAAATGACACATTTGTAGCGCTATTAAAACGCAAATAAAACAAAATACGTTCAAAATACGTCATTCAATTCAGTTTATTTCTATAGCTCTATATCACATCATGTCATCTCAGGTCACTTTATAGAGATAATTCAACCAGTTCATCCAGTCAGATTGATTCAGTTTTAAACCAGCTGATGGCTTCAACTCATTAGCCCCATTTCCTCCACCTTATTGAAACCGTACAGAGATCGGTCCGAGCACGGTAACCATGGTAACTGCTGAGTGTAAAAGGCACAACTGAACCGGAAAGTGCTAGACCCAACCGAACCGCGCTAACATGGTGTTAGTCCATCAGTAGGGCTCGGTGCGGTTCAGTTCTGGCTCGGTTCTCAGTGAGCAGACCGCCTCTCCTCAGTCAGCCTCCGTAATCATTCAGAAAATTCTAGCTGATATTTCTGTTCAGCGTGAAGAACCTCATCGTCTGTCGTTGTTTCCTGCGTCTGGAAGCCCTGATTAGACGATCGTTTGTCGTTTCCACTTCCCAAAAGCCGACTGAAGTTAATCCACCAAAGGCTGCCTTCTTCGCCTGACTCTCCTCTAACTTCCTGAACTTTACAGGCACCGCCATGTTGGGTCGCTTGTTTCCCTCTAGAGAGCAGTAGTACCGTAGATCGCCACTAGGAGGCGAGGAACCGTGCTAGCGTGGCGTGTTAAC